TTATTTCTTTGTCTTGCCTCATTGCTGTGGCTAGGACTTCCAGTATTATGTTAAATAAGAGTGGTGAGCGAGGGCTTTAATTAAAAAAAGAAAAATACACATGAAGCAAATACAGTACTATATGTCAACTGTAATTTAAAAATTTTTTTAAAAAATTTTCCCCAGCTGATGTGGCTCAGTGGATTAAGTGCCAGCCTGTAAACCAAAGGGTCCCCAGTTCAACTCCCAGTTGCCTGGGTTGTGGGCCAGGTCCCCAGTAAAAGACGCACAAGAGGCAACCACACATTGTTGTTTCACTCCCTTTCTTTTTCCCTTCCTTCCGCATCTCTAAAAATAAAATCTTTTTAAAAAGAAATTAAGACACTGTTAAGAGAAACCAACAAAACAAGCCCTTTTTCTCCATGTCATTTTAACCATCCAGCATGCTCACTTTTTCTTGGTCCCCATCTACATGTCTGTTTTTATTTTCTCTGAGGCATGATGTCATCATCTTGTACCTGTGCAGTCTTTCCAGGTGAGTCCTGAGCCTTTCCTCTGGCTGGAATTTTCATTTTTAAAAAAATCTTCTCTTGAGGGTCTTTTCCACAGAAGTCCACCTCAATAAGTAGTTTTATAGGGGTTGAATTAGGGCTTCAAAAACAAAACTCAAAAAACAGTAAACTACACATTCATGTTAAATAAATTCATTATAAACTTCAAAAGAAAAAAAGACCCCCCCCCCCACACACACACGGATTAGGGATCTCATTATTTAATCTTAGGAGAATGTTTCAAGTGTTGCTATAAAAAAAAGTGATAGGAACTTACCAGAGGGACTGAGATGTGCAGGTACCATGGACATACTTAGTCGTTTGGTACTGGTCAGGTGGGGCACTTTCGAGTAAATGTTGAACTACATGAGGTGATCGTTGCTACCTCATGTTAAAAAATACTATTTTTTAATACGAATATAATCACATATTTGCTGTAAGCCCCCCTCAGAGCCTGGTCCGCGAGCTGAGGTGTAGTTCTGCATTGCCACTGTGGGTTGGAACCGTTCTGTGGAGCTTTACCACATTTCATTGTGTGTCCTTCTCAGAGTCGCCGTTCTTGCACCTTTTTAACCATGGCACGTAAAGCTTTCTAACGGGGAAAAAGGTGCCCCTCAAAGGTGCCTGCCTTTCCTACCCTCAGATGTGCAGTGGCTGTGACTGGAGCAGAGCCCCTGGCCCTGTAAGAGTCACATCCTCTCCTGCAGAGGATGTTTCCACACGTAGGAGCCCATCACTATAACCCAGTGCATTCAGAGATGTGGGCCAGTGTTTGTCCCAAAGCAGCTGTGACAAGCCCTCCAGAGATTAAAGGGCTCAGGTTGGTTCTCTCTCCCATTTCTCAGTATTTATTCTGTTGTTCGGTCAGAGGGGCTGGATGAATGGTGGGCAAGGATGGTGCGACCCCATCCTTCATGTGACACTGTGAGGAGATGGGGCCCTTTGCTGGCCAAATGGGGTCCCTGCCCTTGAGCTCCTCTCACGTGGAGACACATTAAATGAAGCAGGTGCAATGAAGTAACTTGCTTTGACAGAAATGTGTCTGGGGGCCCCAGAAGCACAAAGAGGATTGAAACGGTGGAGGAGGCAGAGTGACTTGGATGCTAACAGTTTGGAGTTGGGATTCCAGCCTGTGTTTCCTGTGCCATTCCCAGCCATATGACCTTGGTCACATCCCTAATCTTTGGAGTTTGGTGTTCTTGTAAAGTGGGAGGATGGACATTGCACTAAGGCGCAGGAAGAACAGGCAGGAGCTAGAGGTTGATACAGAGACTCCTGAAGTAGGGGACCTCCAGGCAGTGTGGGAGGAGAACCTCTCCAGCAAAGGTAACAGATGGACAAGATTATGGTCTGTGGCTGGAGCCAGATGAAGGCCAGAGTGGTGATAGTGGGGAGTGTGGCGGGCAATGAGATCCAGTGGGGCGGTGAGAGATGAGGAACTGGTTTTGGTTTTTTAAATACTTGGAGAAAGAGAGGGCGAGACATGTTGATGTGTGAGACAAACATCAATCAGTCACCTCCTGCACCTGCCCCAGCTGTGGACCTGGCCCCGCAACCTAGGCATGTGCCCAAAACTGAGAACTGAACCAGCAACGTCTGCAGGCAGGCGTTCAGTCCACTGAGCCACACCAGCCAGGGCAGGAACTGGGTTTTGTACTCACTGAGTTTGAGACGTCCATCAGACACCTGGGGAAAGATGAGTGAGTCTGGAGTTGAGGGGCATTTCTGGGTCTGCGGAGAGGTGGTGTCGGTGCTCACCAGCACCAGCAACGCGGGAGACTCGTGGTGGAACAGTGAGGCTTATTGGTGCCCTGTGATAGTGTACACGGTGGGATATGTGGGGCGCTCGGTAAGAGGATGTTAGGAGGAGCGTTTTCCAGGCCCTGGACTTGGGTTCAGTAATTCAGGAAGAGACTAAGGAAATAGAGCGTTGGTCAGAACTGGACGCTGTCAGGACACGGGGTTGATTCTGTGATCAGATACCCAAAAATTTGTTATCCACAAATTTTTTTTGGCAGGAGAGTGAAGCGGCACTAGAGCAACAGCCGGTAAAAGACGGCTGTCACTGTTACCCAGAACAATTGTCTGGTCTTTTGTTTTGCACAGGGTTCTCATTTTTGTCTGTGTTCAGACATGATGATAGGGTCGTTTTTTCTTTGTTTCGATCCATCACGGTCACTGAGGGGCCTTAACTGAGATTGGTGGTCTGTGAACTTGTTTAATTCAACAGGAGAACCCCAGAGTTCAGAGGTAAGCGCCAGACCCAGAGGACTTGCACTCCCATCTATGACAACGCCCTCCCTCCTCCCCTACCGCTCTCAGCCGTTCCCGGGCGGCCACCTACTTAGGAACTAAGACCCGCCTGCTCCATGACTGGCTGTCAATCATGGCAACTAAGCGTTGCAGGCCCCCATTTCCAGAGACAAGCAATCACGTTGCACTTTATTCTTAAAGCGCCTCTTCAAGACAGCCTACATTTGCTAGCCCCACCCCTCTTGATGGACAGCCAACCGAAGCGTTTGGGTTCTGCTGCTACTCCATCTCTGAGTCCCACCCCCGCTGTAAACAACCAGGTGGTTTGGCTGATGTGGGAGTGTCAGTCAATCACAGCTGTTCGACACTACCAACTACCTGACGCAGTTGTTAAGCCCCTGCCCTGGCCTGCTCTGGGCAAACTGACCGTCGTGTTCACCAAGGCGGAGCCAGTGACAACTTCTAGGCACTGTCAACTTTGGGCAGCCAGTTGTCGCTGCATAGAAGCAACCAATCAGAATTCCTAAAGGACACCCGATCGATTACCAGTTGCCTGCTCATGAGGCAGGCCATCTGGTCAAATGCTGATCAGCTTGTCCAGGCTGAAGCGGTTGGGAGCCTTGCGCCAGCCGGAAGCTGTGGGCCGGCAGGAACCAGAGACGAAGACGCACTTCCCATGCAACCTCAGGTGCCTTCCCTGCCCTGGTCCCTCACCCTATCTACAGAAACTACCTTGGTCTGGATCTTCCCTCCACCTGTGGTCTGTCCAATATTTATTGGCCTATCAATTTCACGCACCTAAAGGAATAAATGGTTTTTAATAATAATAAGCACGGAGGCCTGGCCTCCAGGTCCCCAGAGCTCCTCTTTCACTCTTCCAGTCACAACAGCCACTGTGGTAGATAATTTAAACCTGTGATACAGATGGGACTTAGTCCCACGGGGGACGTTCTATGACAAGGTGTGCACATGGGCAGTGATCTTAGGCATTTGAGAAAGTTTGAAACCGAGGGTCCTTATGACAAATTTAGTTTTAAATAAACTCCAGCTCTAGAAATCATCTCTTCCCTCTCCTGTCTCTCAGAGACCTAGCCTTTCCCCCAGATAATCAGCACCCCCTGCCCCGGGCAACACAAGACCGTACCCCGGAACTAATGGTTTCTCAGTCTGCCCCTCTGGCTGGCTAAAGGTAACATCTTAACCTAAGTTATGTTTCAGTTCGTGAGCCCTTAAGTGGAAGGACCACCTGGCTACTTTTCCATGAGACCGGACAGAGGGACGCAGGAGCAGACATCAGAAACATCCTCAAGACCTGAAGACATGACTCACTGCCCTTATCTCGCCGCTAACCAATTAGCTCCCAGTACAACTCTGAACCCCTTCCTGGTATCTTGTGATTTTGCCCTTTACCATCAGGGAATTGGGGCTTTTGAGCATTGGCTTACTGGCCCTTGGGTGGCGCCATTCATCAATTTAAAAAAGCCAGTATTTCTCCACTTCCATTCTTGGTGTTGAGTGTCTGGCTTTCCTAGTGCCCGGTGGACGAACTCCTGTAACAGTCCAGTGTGAGGGACGCTGAGCCCAGGGCCTGGGAACCATGGTAGCCCACCTGAGGCGCTGGTCACAGAGGTCACCGAGGTGGCACAGTCTGAGGCCACGAGAGATGCTGACGCTGCTACAGTAAAGACCTAAATTTGGGAATCAACAGATTGGAGGTATATTTGACGTTACCACTACGCAAAGACCCCAGGAGCGAGGTGTATTCGCTGTTCTATTTAACCTCAGTCCCCAAAGATGAAGCAGCTTTTCCAGGATTAAAGAACAGAGCAACTGGAGATCCCGGAGAACGTGGCACTGCCCCAGGCGACCAGGGGAATCTGGTCGCGTCCCTTTAAGACGCGCTTTGGCCCTTCAGGACTCTATTTCCCCGTTCCCCGCCACCCCCACCTCCTTCGCGCCCTTGCCACCAGAATCCGAAAAGTGCCCTTTGCCAGGTTGAATGCAGCGAGCGAACTACAATACCCCGAAGTCCGCCGCGGCCGCCCGGAAGACGGGCGTTTCCTGGTGCTCGTCGGGCAGGGGCGGGGCTTCTGGTGCCGCCGTCGTGACGTATTTATTCGGCGCCAGGACTGTCAGACGGTCCACCCTGGCTGCAGAGGTTCCGAATTCGGAGAGGGGTCGGCTTGCCGCGCGGTTCTTCGGAATCGAGCCGGAGAGGACGGTTAAAGGAAAAGGCTTCGCCCTGCATGCCTTTGTTACGAGCCATGGCCCCCGTAGGGCGACTGGCGGCGGTCCGCCGAGGTGTCCGCCGGGGGCGCGCTCTTTCTGCGGCCTTGGCGCCCGCGCCCTGTCCTCGGCCCCAGGAGGCGGCTCCCTGAGTCTTGTTCGTGTTTTTACCCGGGGCAGGTCGGGGAGGGACCGTGCGACAGTCAACCCGAGGTCACCCGGCCCAGCGGAGGTGTGGGGAAGTTTCGCCTGAGCCCCCGGGGCTGCTCTCGGGATCCCATGGCGGCCGCGGCGCTGATGGACCGGGCTGGGGTGAGTGGCAGGGTCCCCCAAGCCCTCAGCGACTTGGATCTAGGTGCTGGTGTGTTCTAGGTGCCAGGACCGTCATCACTTTCCCCTCATCTTTCCCTCCCTTGACTCTAAAGGCCATGGAAGGGCGTTCGCTCCCGCCGAATATAAGGCGAGGCTCCCATTGCCAGTGTCCATAGCATGAGGCGTGCAAGGATTTCCAAGGCCGGGAGTCAGCTGGTACAAATCCTGGGAGGTGGGAGCGGAGGCGTTCTGTTTAGTGAGAACAGAGAGCAGGCGGTCAGGGCTCCGGGCAGGCAGCCTGAGGAGCTGGGCCTCTGTTCTGATGGTGGTGGGAGCCACCGGAGGTTTGGAACAGGGGAGGGAGGCGATTTGACTTGGGTGTCAACAGGCTTCCTGTGGCTGCAGAGTGGAAAGCTTGGACAGAGACCAGATGGTGTCCAGGTGGATGTTGACGAAGGGGCGGTGGCGGGGCGGGGGAGACCGCAGAGGTGACAGTGGACGTGAGAGAAGCGTGTGGATTTTGTATATGTTTTTAAAGTAGGGCCGACCAGATTTTTATTTTTACTTTTTAATTCTTACCTGAGAATATGCTTTCATTGATTTGAGAGAGCGAGAAAAACACTGATATGAGAAAGAGAGAGAGAAAGAAAGAAAGAAACACACACTGATGTGAGAGAGAATCATCAACTGGTTAATCGGTTGCCTCGGGCATGTGCCTCGACCAGAGGTTGAACAGGCTACCTAGGCATGTGCCCTGATTGAGAGTCAAACCCACAACCTTTTGGTTTCTGGGACAGTGCTCCGCCAGCTAAGCCACCCTGCCAAGGCAAGACCAGCCAGATTTTCTGATGAGACATCGTGATACTCTGGAACTCTTCACTTGTTCCTCTCTCCACCCTTGAGTCTGGGGGCCCAGCAGTCTGAATCTGGGCCAGACGTTATGCAGAGAAGTTCCGACTTTTGGCAGCCAATAGGATTAGGACTAGAAGGGTGTATTAGGCCCAGGAACAGCAAATGCTTGGAGGTAAGATTGAATTAAGAGTCCTCAGAGAACCACAGATTTTTGTTATCTCTGTTGGGAACAGGGCCGGGAGTCAGGCAGGAATGGCAGGCTCAGGGGCTGGGTTTCTGTTCTGAGGGGGGGTGACACTTGAGAGCTGGAGCAGAGGGGAGAGATGATCTGATTTGGACCGTAACAGGCTCCCTCGGCAGCTGTCTGGCTGAGAACAGCACGGGCCTGAGGAAGGAGTCAGTGCAGTTTTCCACAGGAGTTTTGATGGTGGCTGGCCCAGAGGGATGGCAGGGGAAGTGAGAAAAATGGGTGGATTTTGTATCTGTTTTTTAAGTAGGTCGACGGGATTTTCTGATGTGAAGGGTGAAGGAGAAAAAGCAAGGAATCATGGGTGACCCCGGGGGGATTAACTTCAGTGGGTAGGACAGTGGAAGTGCTGTCAGCTAAGATACAGAAGTTGGTGGCAGGAGTAATTTTCAGTAGCTATGAGGGGGGTTAGGCTTTTGTCATGTTGAGTTTAATACGTTCCAGAGACCCCTTAGTGAAGGCATCCAACTGGACACAGGATTTTAATTCCTGTTGAAGAAGTTCAAAATGTGGCAACCAGTGTGTAGAATGGGGTGGAGTTGTGGGTTAAATTTCGGAGGGAGTATCTTCAGCTCATGGTGGTTGTGCTGTTGATAATCAGAAACACAAAATTGGGCACCGAGGACTGGGTGTCTTGCTTAGGCACCTGGGTAGCAGTGGTGGCTGTCATAAAGACATAGGAGCACTTCCTGGACCTTGGGTGCAGGGTGGGGTGGGGGTTGCCTTGGGGGTGCCTGTGATGTGGACCAGAAGTTGTCAGTGGTAGTAGAAATTTTTGCCAGATGTGAGAACGGTGTGGTTCAAAGAGTGGTGTTCATGTTGGGAGCAGTTCTGGTTGTGTCTGGGAGGCCTGGTCCGGATGACACCAGGAGAACTGGCTGGCAGGGGACTGTTTGGGGCCCTTCCTGCCAGACCCCTAGTCTACACAGTAACTTTTGGCCCACCTGCATGGTCTGCTCGGGGCTGGACTCAGTGATCCCAGGGATATAAGGAAACAGCAGGCACTAAATGGTCCAAGGCCTGGTATCTCTGCGTTGAGAGGCTCAGGGCACAAGAACCCAGAAGTGCTCATGTGAACAGTGAGATGTGGGGAGAGGTGCTGTGCTGCCTGTTGGCTCAATTGTCCCCTTTCCAGCAGGGCTGTGTGACCTTCGAGGACGTGTTCGTGTACTTCTCCCGGGAGGAGTGGGGGCTCCTTGATGAGGCTCAGAGGTGCCTGTACCGTGATGTGATGCTGGAGAACTTTGCCCTTGTGTCCTCACTGGGTAAGTCCTTGGTTTAGTTATCTGTTAGTGCATGGCAAATTTCCCCCAAATTTAGTGGTTTAACATAGGAAAAATTCATTGTCTCAGTTTTGGTGCATCAAGAATCTGGTCACAGCTTACCTGGTGCATTTGGCTCAGGCTGTCCTGTGAGGTTTCAGTCAAGCTCTCAGCCAGAGCCGTGTTCTCTTTTGTAGGCTATGCTAAGGAAAACTCCGCTTACAAACTCACATCATTGTTCACAAGATTCACTTCCTTGCCGCTTATTGAGCTGCGAGCGTTGGCCCCTTGCTGGCTGTTGGTCAGAAGCTTTCCTCCGTTCTGTGCCATAGTGGCCTTCCTGTGGCCTACCTCATATCAGGGAAGCTGTCTTCTTTCTGAGCCAGTGAGCAAGAGAGAATGCCTAGGATGCAAGCTGGTCTTTTTCTGGCCTGACCTTGAAAGTGACATCCCATCATTTTTGCTGCATTCTATTCCTTAGAAACAGGTCAGTCCCTTCTACAATGAAGGCTTACATAAGGGCAAGAATACTGTGAGGGAGGCCTTCCTGGGGGCCATCTTTGAGGCTGCCTTCCAATGTGCCCTCGCACCTACTCCAGGGTCCTTGGGATTTCGTATTCCCCGGTCCCCAGGGGCAGCCCTTTCTGTCGAGCCAGATCACTGACTCCTCTCCCTCCCTTCTCTGGTTCCCAGAGTAGGGGCTCTAGGAACCCCCTTTGTTGAGCAGTTTCCACACCTGCTATCCAAAGCCTTGAAGGAACAGGTTGGAGACTTGGGGCTTCTTCAGTGGGCTCAGCAGATTCTGCCAGGCTTGAGCCCTCCCTGGCCGGATGCTGTCCAGTTCCGTGGCACCTCTGTGTCCCAGGTTCTGCCTTCATCCTCCAGTTGAAATCTCCTGTGGCCTGGCTGTGCCAAGAACTGCAGGTATTAATGTGGTCACCACCTGCGGAGGTCACAGGACTGTTCTGCCAAATCGTCCTTTGAGATTCTTTTTTAATCTTTTTATTTCTTTTCTGTAAGTGGGTCTTCCTGAGCCACTGATCTGCCCTGTGTTTTCCTTATAACTTTCATCTGCTAGATCCCATAGAGTTGCCCAGGTGGAGACAGGCAGAAAGCTCTGGGTACTCACCAGGGAGACCCAACTGCAGCCACAGTGAGAGGAGCCAGAGTGGGCCTGGCCCTGCAGAGCAGGAGCTGGGAGAGAGTGTCACATTAGTGCTGGGTTCACGTCCCTTCAACCTGCATTGTAGGCACCAGTGTCTTCTTACCCAGGCCCATAATAACCCCTCATTCCTCCCTCTCCTCTGCTCACAGCATGGTGCCCACTTGTCATCTCTCTTCCATCTCCATCCTTTGGCTGTTTGCCTACTTCCCTAGCCTCTGCAGCTCCCTCTTTCTTCTCTGCTCCCTCTGCAGTGCTCTGCAGCATTGTGCACACATTTTTAAATAGTTCTTAACAACCAGTGGCTTCCTTGCAGTCAGACTTTCCTGGTGGGCCAGGACACAGCGTTTTGCACAGAGCTCAGCAGACGCCAGCAGCCAGGACCCTGCTGAAGCCCTTTTGTAGAACATGAGTTGGAGACCTCACCTGTCCTCCCTGTCCTGGGCACCATCGTTGTATCTTTACCCATCATTAGGGTTCCTCCCTTCTGTGACCAGTAGAGGCCCAGCATTGACAGTGGGCCCTCCCTCATCCCTCTCCTGGCTCCCTTGTCCTGCCGACAAGTCAGTGGACTCACTCCTGGTGTGTCACACACTCATATTTGATGGGTTGCTGCCTCCCACCAAAGTCAACATGTACTTCATCAGCATTTGTCTGCTTTCAGGTTGCTGGCGTGAAGCAGACCATGAGGAGGCCCCTTCTGAGCGGGGCACTTCTGCAGAAGTGTCGCCGGTCAGGACTTCCGAGTCAGGTTCATTTATCCAGAAAGCCCGCCTGTGTGAGCTGTGTGATCCACTCTTGAGAGACCTTTTGCCCCTGGCTGGACACCAGGGACCATCCCCCACGCTGAAACCATGCACGAGTGGCCCATGTGGGAGAGGATTAGTATTCAGAGCAAACTTCAACCAGTACCAGAAGCAATACAGTGGAGAGGAGCCCTTCAGCGGGGACAATGGTGGGGCCTTGTCGGTCAAGAGCTGTATAGTCCACACGTTGGCCAGGCCCTTTCCTTGCAGAGAGGATGGGATGGACTTGCTAGACAACCCTGGCCTCCTCCAGTCCCAGACCCCTCACTGTGGGTCAAGTCCATGCAAGGGGACTGGGTTCATGGAATCTTTCCCATCCAGCTCCAGCCTCAGGCGGCTCCAGGAGGACCATGATGCACTGATGCTTTTCAGTAGCAATGACGATGGGAGAGCCTTCCTGAGCACCTTTACTCTGCTTGACAAACAGATGACTTATACTGAAGGGAAGCCCATGAGTTGCCTGCCACGTGGAAATGTGTCCAAGGAGAAATCGGCTCTTATTCACCACAGAAAAGTTCACAGTGGAGAAACATCCCATGTGTGCAAGGAGTGTGGGAAGGCCTTCATTCACCTATCCCACCTAAAAGTGCACCAGAAACTTCACAGTGGGAAGAGACATTATACATGCAGCGAGTGTGGCAAGGCCTTCAGCCGCAAAGATACTCTTGTCCAGCACCGGAGAGTCCACACTGGAGAGAGGTCTTATGACTGCAGTGAGTGTGGAAAAGCCTACAGCAGAAGCTCCCATCTTGTCCAGCACCAGAGAATCCACACTGGAGAGAGGCCTTACCAGTGCGGTGAGTGTGGAAAAGCCTTCAGCCGTAAAGACACGCTTGTCCAGCACCAGAGATTTCACACTGGAGAGAGGCCATATGAGTGCAGTGAGTGTGGGAAATTCTTTAGCCAAAGCTCCCACCTTATTGAGCACTGGAGGATTCACACTGGGGCGAGGCCCTATGAATGCATCGAATGCGGGAAATTCTTTAGCCATAACTCCAGCCTTATTAAACATCGGAGAGTCCACACAGGAGCAAGGTCTTATGTGTGCAGCAAATGTGGGAAGGCTTTTAGCTGCAAAGACACCCTTGTCCAGCACCAGATAATCCACACCGGAGCAAGGCCGTATGAGTGCAGCGAGTGTGGGAAGGCCTTCAGCCGCAAGGATACACTTGTACAGCACCAGAAAATCCACACTGGGGAGAGGCCTTATGAGTGTGGTGAGTGTGGAAAATTCTTTAGCCACAGCTCCAACCTGATTGTACACCAGAGAATACACACTGGGGCGAAGCCTTATGAATGCAACGAGTGTGGGAAATGCTTCAGCCACAACTCCAGCCTTATCCTGCACCAGAGAGTTCACACTGGAGCGAGGCCTTATGTGTGCACTGAGTGTGGAAAAGCCTACATTAGCAGCTCCCACCTTGTTCAACACAAGAAGGTTCACACAGGAGCAAGGCCTTATGAGTGCAGCGAGTGTGGGAAATTCTTTAGCCGCAACTCTAGCCTCATCCTGCACCAGAGGGTTCACACAGGAGAGAAGCCTTACGTGTGCAGTGAGTGTGGGAAAGCCTACAGCCGGAGCTCCCATCTGGTGCGGCACCAGAAAGTTCACACTGGAGAAAGGCCTCATGAAAGCAACAGTTTGGGTGACCCTTTACCTGTGTCTCTTAAACTTGTTTAGCACCAGAAAGTTCACACTAGAAAAAGGCCTTAAGCATGCAGGAAATGTGCTGTCTCCTCATTCAGCCTCAGGACTCAACAGCAGAGGAAAGCCCTGTGAGTACCTGTGGTGCTGAGGGAGCCGTGAGCCAGCAGGTGGACCTTGTGCATTCATGTTTTCAGCCTGGCTCCATTCCCAGGAAGTACCATGTAGGTATGTGGCACTTTCTGAACTGTCTGGGACTCTCGACAGTTATGTCAGTGCCAGTGCCTGTGGCAGAAGCCACCTCTGTTGCTAGCTGTCAGGGTCCCACGGTGTGTCAACCACTCCAACATGCTCAGGGAAGGCAGACCTCTGCTGCTCTCTCACTTAGTCCCTAGAGGGAATCATGAGCTTTCTGAGCCCATTGAAGGTCTTCACTTCGTCCTCCATGACTGGGTTCTGAATGGTGTGATCTAGCTCTGGGCACAAGGACTTGAGCGGAGATCTGCTGGGATTTCCAGATAAGATTTCTCTTCCTCGTGGGCAATGTCAGCTGTAAACACAAGAGCCACGATTCTTCCTGCTTCCCAGCCACCCACCATAGGAACTGCCTGCCCTGTGCTGCCCTGGTTTGCACAGTGGTGTAGGCCTGCTGTGGCTGTCTGTACTCTTGGGGGGCTGTTCACTGTGTGATATGGACTGAGAAAAAACTGGTTCTGCCAACATGAAGCAACATGGGCTTTTGTTGGCACCAACTTTATGTGCCTGAGAAGGGACAGCAGGATGGCAGCAGACAGATCTCAGTCTAGTGTAGCCTGATTTGCATTGTTTTCCAAGGCTTGCTGGAAAAGACTGAAGGACTTTGTGTGTCTACTCCTGTAGCCTGAAGTTTGGATTTCCTGGGAGTCCAGAGTTAATTGTGTGAAGGGCATAGTTGGTGTGAAAAGCCTCTAGTGCTTCTGGAAGCAACATGAATTGGGTCCCTTTTTCTCAGGAAATCCTCCATACTCCCCAGCACTTTTGAGGGGTTTCTATCTCCTGGACCTGATGTCCAGTGTCTGATGTCCAGAATCCCGTAGGCAGGTGTCATTGACTGGAGGGCTTACAGGGCAAGGTGCGAATCATAATTTGTATAGAAATACTTAGATAATTGAATGGAGATAACTGGCAAATGAGAAGATAATGTAACCTAAAGGAGTCATCTGCAAATGTCTGTGCGATTGTGCCTGGGTGGGATGGGAGTGTACAGAAATTCTCAGGGCCTTCAGTGTTCGAAAGGTTTATGGATTACTCTACCTCCCTGGACTGTTGATGCCATGGCCATCGCTGCACCAGCACTGAAAAAAGAGAGGCCCAGGGGTAGGGCTTCTGGGACCCAGTCAATAGTCTTTGCATACAAGGTGGAAATGGACTTCATGCTCTCTAGTTCTTGCTGACATTGAGAAAGCCTTACCCTCCTAAACTGTGGGGTGAGGGATATGGTAGAACCAAAATAGTTGGCAAATGTTTCCTTCCAAGAGGGATGGTAAATATGCTTGTATTTTATTGCGGTATGATCAACATGAAATAAACTGCACAAATGTGAAGAGTAAAATGTTTCAGCATATGTATGTACCTGAAAAACCATCACCACAATTAAGATAACAAACATGTCCAACAACAACACAAGGGACTCCTTGTGTCCCTTTAGCACCCTTTCTTCCCAGTCCTTTCTTAACCCGTTTCCCTTGATTCACAAGCAGCAGCAAGCATTTTCTAGAATTTTGTGTAATATGCTATCTGGGGAGTGGGAACTCTGGCTTCTTAAATTAACTATGGCTGTTTAGAGATTAATCCACCTTGTTACATGTATCAAGAGTATGTTCGTTTGAGTTGTTGGGTGTTATTCCATTGTATGGATATACCACAATTGTTTTTTATCCATTCAGCTATTAGTGGATATTTGGGTTGTTTCCAGTTTTTGGCTATTACAAATAAAGCTGCTGTGAAGACTTCTGTACATACTATCACTGAAAAACATTCCATTGTCTGAATGTACTACGGTTTATCCACTCACCTACTGAAGGACATCTTGGTTGCTTCCAAGTTTTATTTATGAATAAACCTTCAATATATATTTATAGTTTTATGTGGACATAAGTTTTCAATCTGAGTTCAAGCCAACAAGCATGACTTGCTGGATCATATAGTAAAAGTATGTTCAGTCTGGTAAGAAATTGTCTTCCAAAGTTGTCCCATTTTGTATTATCACCAGCAATGAACAAGAGTTCATTCCTGTTTTTCCATGTCCTTATCAGCATTTGGTGTTCAGTGTTTTGGATTTTGGCCATTTAAATAGGTTTGTAGTGGTATATTGTTACTGCTTTAACTTGCAAGTCCCTAATGACAGATGAGTATCTTTTCATATTGTAACTGTTTTTTGCACAGCACAAGATTTTATTTTAATCAAGTCCAAATACCCAGTTTTTTTTCTATTGGTTGTGTTTTTGGTGTATCTGAAAACTCTTTGCCAAATACAAGATCACATACGTTTTCTGTTGTTATCTTGTAGGTGATCTATAGTTCTGCATTATACATTTAGTTCTATTATCCGCGCCCCCCCCCGCTCTTTTTTGAGGGCAGGAGAGGGAAAGAAACATTGATCAGTTGCCTCTTCTACCTTCCCCCGCTGGGGCCAGAGCTGCAACACAGGCATGTGCTTTGACTGGGAGTTGAACCTGTGAGCTTTTGGTCTAGAGAATAACACTCAAACAACTGATCCACACCGGCAAGGGCTATTTTCTTTTTTTTTGTGGGGGGGGGGCGCACTTTTTCCCCCTATTAATCCATGTTGAGAAAGTATTTGTGAAAGGTGTAAGATCTGTATCTAGGTCATTCTTAATAGAGATGGAAAATAGCCCTGGCTGGTGTGGCTCACTGGGTTGGGTGTTGTCCTGCAGAACAAAAGGTCACCTGTTGGATTCCCCATCACGGCACATGCCTCGGTTGCGGTTCCATCCCTAGTCAGTGCAAATCGATGTCTCCCTCTCCATCAAAGTTTCTCTCCCTCCCTTTTCCCCTCTCTAAAATCAGTAAGCATGTCCTTGGTGAGGAAAAAAAAAAAACAATGGAAAATGCCTCAGATATGGAGTAATAAATATAATGAATAAAAATGTGACTCGCTAGACTGGAACACTATCACTGACTACAGAGGCAGAAAAGATGTTTTCTGTGGGAGCCAGAGACACGAGTCACCCTAACTACTTCATCCCGCCTGTTATCCCGCCTTCAGTTCCCCCATCACAGCCCTGTCTGGGGTATTTTCTTATTGTCCCTGGCCGACCCTGTTGAAGCTCAGAAAAACGACTCCAAAGCGTCAATGTACCTTAGACAAACAGGATAGCGTTGGGGGGACAGGAGGGTGATCACCGTGTTGCGTGTCCCTTTCTACGAGCAGCCCTTGGAAACCGAGATTTCCTGAGTCTGAAATTACAGGTCTCTAAATATTTCTAGGGAAAAAAAATGTCTCCTACATTCCTGGACTACCCGCCAAGGATATCTGAGTGGAACCCCTTTAAGAGCCAGCGAAGTGCGGCCCCACTTGGGCAAGCGCCCGTCACAACATCGCTCTGCTAGTATCCACCAAAGGACCTGCGCTTTGAGGCCCCGCGGGTAACGGCGTGGAAACTACGTTACCCAGAAGGTAGTGCGAAGGCGGCGACTGGCCAATGAGGGCTCAGCGTGCTTGCGTAGCGCCTGGGAGCGTTGTTTCGGCGACCAGCTTCTGACAAACAGCGTGGGGGCGGGGCTTCACAGGCCCGCTTGTGACGTACAGCGATTCAGACGCGCGCGGATCCGCTCAGTGGTTCAGAGCGCTGTCAGTCTTGAGTCGGCACTGAAGTGAATGGGAAGCGGGAGCAGATCCGTCGTCCCCGACGCCTTGAGACCAGAGGGAACCCGCTGGTGACGGCGGCTCATCCCGCACGCTGGTGGCGGGGCGGCGCAGATGAGCCCGATTGAGGTGGGTACCGTGTCCCCCCGGTCTTGTCCCCCAACTCCCCCGTCTCCCACCTCCGAGTCGGAGTCCCGATGGACGGGCGCCGCTCCGGTCCTTGGTTCAGGCACGTATCCGCCGAGTGAGGACGGATCGGCGTTCCCTCAGGGGCACCTGAGCGCTGGGGAACGGGGGGTCTCTGTGTTCAGGGCTCAGGGCGACGAGTGTCGCTTCGAGGGACGACCTGAGCGGCTGGAAGCCGTGGGAGGTTCTGAAAGGACTGCGGTGCGGAGGGGCGTGTCCCAAGCTGGATGTTTAAAGCGGGTCAAACCACGAGACCGGGGAGGCCCCGGCAGTTGGCTCCAGGGGAGCGACGGTAGGGCTGGGACCAGGCTGGTAGGAGTCAGGGGCCATGTGATGAGATTCTGGAGAAACTTCGACCTTCAGGGTTTCCTAATACGTCACCCGTAGCTGTGAGCAAAAGTAACGGCGGGAAGGGCCGTTCTAAGTTTCATTTATTTATTTTTTTGCCTGAACATCGAAAGCATGGAGACGGGAAGCGAGCACAGGAAACCGGTTTCAGGGAGATTATGAGTTGATTTTGGACAGGTGACCCCGGTGTTCCTGGGCAGGAACCGGCCCTGAGCTGGTCTGCCTAGGACCAGATGGAGAGTTTGGGTTCTTGACTTCATGTGGGAAAGAGTTCACAACACGCATGCAGGTGACTATGAGGGAACGTTTATTAAAGCTGGGGACAGCGAAACAAGGAAAGGCTTAGGACAGAGGAAGCAACAGGAGAGAGCCTAGGCGGGGCGGCCTTAGCCCACTCGGAAGCCGCAGAAAAGGGGTCTTTCGGGGCAGGTTCAAAGCGTTAGTCCGGGACTACCTGCTGCTGCCCATTGCGCCCCTGGTTGCAAGTCATGTGGGGACCCTTAGAGTTAAGGAGGCACGTGCCTATGAAGAAAGAAGTGGGGGAAGAAGGGAAAGGCAGTGGTGCAGGCTGCCTCCCAGGGGGAGAGCAAGCCCTGGGTCCATTGTCTCGGGACTTTCTCTCCCAGAAGGGAATCTTAGCGCAGGTCTCAGGGGAGGGCGGGCTTCAGTAGACTCTTCCTCAGTTCTCCAGGTGCGCCCTTTCGGGGTCATGCTCTCCACTGATTGGTCAGTAGCACAGAAGCGGTTCTTCAGTCATTGTAGTTGGTTCTGGCATCGCCCACCTAGTTTTGCTGCTTTTCTGGGCCTGGAGCTGAAATACCACTGAGACAGATGTTATCTCTAGGGAGGTGACCTACTGTATCTGGCTGCAAATTTCTCAGTCATTGTGTACAGCTGTCTGTCTCGGTTTCCCCGTTCCACTTGCTAAGGAATTTTCTTAGCTTCTTACCTTCCTGTCTCACTAAGATGTTACAAGGTGGGGACATCCTTGTAACTGAACTCAGTAAATTCGGAATATATGAAACATTTGTTATTTAAAAACAACAGTTAACCAGTATTTTTCTAAATATGTATACATGGGTTGGCAATTAGAAGTGAACACATTTGTCCCGGCCGAGTGGCTTCAGTTAGTTGGAGCATTGTCCCGATGCATCAGGATTTCAGGCTCAGTTCTAGGTCAGGACATATGCAGGAATCAATCAATAAATACATGGATGAATGGAACAACAAATTGATGTTTCTCCCTTCATCTCTCTCTAAAAAATCAATTAAAATTTTTTGAAAGACATTAATACATTCAATAAATTAATCATGGCAACACTGTAAAAATTGAAATGTTAATTTACCTGTAGTATTTGCTAACAGGAGGTTAATATGTCACATTCTCTGAAAACCTTAAAAAGCAGGAAGACTAAAAACCCACATTTTCAAAACCTTATCCCTTCTCTTGCACTGAAAAAATACAAAATTATTAATCCCATGGATAGGTAGAGCTGACAGGTAGTGTGAGCAATTTATGTTTTGTTTCGTTTTGTTTTTTACTTTTAATGACTGAAACAAAAAAAGGTCTAAAACCGCAGCTTCTGGAAGAACCATTTGTTCTTGCCGGTCTTGTACCTCTCTTCGAACTTGACCTTGGCCTCCCGTCGGGCCTTGCGTTTCAGAGCAGGGTCTCTGAAGATGTCCTTGTTGATGACAGTTTTGTCCAGGGGGATATCCACAGAGTACCTTGTGGGCATGAGGTGATTGTAGTTATACACTTTCACAAAAGACTTGATCTTAGACCTCTTGGCGATTTTCTTCTTGCCCATGGCAGCTGTCACTTTGCGGGGCTAGCGGTCAATTCCAGCCACCAGAGCATGACTGTAAGGGTGGTCTGATGTGCCATCATCAATATTCTTTACGATGACCGCTTTGCGTCCGGAGTAGCGTCCCACCAGGACCAACACCACCTTCCCGGGTTTCATAAACTTGCCCATTTCTGCAGAGAGGAACAAAGGGCCACTCAGAAATCCTTAAGCCCAGGCTGCGTGCAGGGCCGGAACTTGAGGCTGCTCTTTCTGTCGTCTTGGCCCAGGCGTCCGTGAGCCCTGCTCACAGGACAGGATCCATTACAAAGCCGCCAGAGACCGAGGAACGGAACATACTCAGTACCGTCCCACAACTCGACCCCCAGACCGTGGATGGCGGTGGATTAGAAGACCCTCCCCTACTCTCCACAATTTATGTTTTAATACTGTTAGCAGCCCCATGAGGTGGGAACAATTGTCCCCATTTTGCAGTAACAGAGTTGAGGCTCAGGGCAGTTCAGCCTTATGCGGAATCACATAGCTGATCCTAGTGGCACTGAGGTCAGAGGAACTGGGCAGGGCATAGACGGTGGTCCAACGCAGCTATATCAGGCACCTACCATGGTTACCCATCTTTCAAGCCTCTCTCTTTCCATAGGTTCCCATGACATTTGCAGAAAAGCTTATGGACGTGGCACAGGTGAGTGGAGGATGTACCAGACCTTTATCCCTGCCCAGTTATCACCCTGATGGTTTTGCCACTTTCATAGAAAAAATGGTGGTGTTGTGAGCCTGTTCACCTTTTTCTCCCTCCTTTGGGTCTGAAGTTCCTGCGGTTTCATCCCTCCCTCCCTCCCTCTTCTTCCCTTACCCTCCCTCTCCCTCTCTACGGGTCTTATGAGTTCTGGGACAGGATGGGGCAAAATAGGATGGTGAGTCCATTTGCGAAACACTGCCTGGGTTTCACGTGCACAATGACATGCCTGGAGGCCATGGAAATGCCCATGGTGGGCCAGTGGGTATCAGTAACTGATTTGGGAATGTGGAGGGACCAAGTATGTTAAAGAGGTTCAGTCCAGGACTGATGTGCAGGTGAGGAGCAGTATCGGTGTTTAGCCCCAGGCCCTGACACAGGCTGAGTAAGGGAGAAAGAGGAGTTCAAGTTTTATTGTCAGGGAGGTGAGATCTGGGGGACCACAGGATAATTTATTGATAAGAGAGGAGTGTAGCCCCATTCCAGGCCCAGAGTCTAGACAATGCTTTTCTGCTTCCCCCGCCCTGCCTGTTTTCACATCTGTTTATCAGCAGTGAAACGGAGAGAGCAGGCACCAGATTTCTCTCTCTCCCACACTGGAAGTCAGTTGGGAGGGTGCAGGGATGGAAGTGTCGGGGGGAAAGGCCGAAGATCCTAGAGATAGAAGCTGCACATTGATCAAACTGTCTCCATTTTCACAGGACCGTGTGGTCTTTGAGGCCGTGGCCATCCACTTCTCCCAGGAGGAGTGGGGGTTCCTGAATGAGTTGGGGGGGACGCCTGTACCACAGTGTGATGCTGGAGAACTTGGCACTGTTGTCCTCCGTAGGTGAGGCCCCCACACGCACCCCAGGGTCCTGGGCTGGACTCTGTTCTTATCCTTTCCAGGGGCAGCTCTGTCCTTCCCACCACGAGACTGTGGGCACTGCTTCCTCTCCTGGTTTGCTGGCATGTGTGATATTGGTGTTGGGGCCGGGCTGTGTACACTGTCCTCGCAGTCCCCAAGCAGCCCATCCCTTGCTGCTCTGAATACTTGCAAGACAGGGCTGAGGAGTCAGAAGTCTTGAAGTTTGTGTGAGAGGTCCCTCAGACCTGGCCTGCCCCTGGTCAGGTTACTCTGTTCAGATCCATGGACCCTCTTTGCCCAAGCCTTCCCTCTTTTTCTGCTGACATTTCTCGGGGTCTGCCTGTGCCAGGATTTTCAGCCTCCATGTGGTCACTAGTTGTGGATGGTGACCACTGGTTCTGCAGGATCCTCCCAGGAAGTGCTCATGATTTTAGGATGTAGGGTGTCATGAGTTGGATCGCTCTGGGGTCATGCCGGCCACCCCATTTCCCTGTGTTTCACCTAGGGAGACCTGTTCCAAGTCCCATGTCAGTGCTCACACTGAGGCAAGGGAGGGGGGCCCTGTCGGGGCTGCCTGTCGGGGGAGATAGCCCTCTATCGGTGGCAACAAGGCATGGCCATTGCGCCTGGGAGCTGGGAAAGGGCATGCTGTCAGAGCTGGGTCTGCATCACACTGGGCACCAGGCCTGTGCCCACCCTTGTGTGATTCCCAGGGCAGAGGCTACCTTCATTCTACCTTTTCCCTTGTCATTTCTAATCCGGGTCCCCAGCTTCCCCAAATTTTGTGGGCTCCACCTCTCACCTGTTCCCTTCCACTAACTACTCCCTTTGTGGTGCTCTCAACATTGGACCTACACTTAAGGTGCAGTGATATCTGCGCATGTCCTTAAATAGTCCTGGAACACCAGCTACTGTGTCCCAGTCAGACATGTCTGGGTCTGGACACAACCTGCTACACAGTGCTCACCAGTCACCAGCAGCCATGCCCTTGTTGAAAGCCATTTGCAGAAGAGTGACCTGCAGACCCTGCTTCTCCTCCCCACCCTGTCCCTTCCTTGTGTCCTGCCCCATGGTCAGGGCTCTCCCATCGTGAGCTCCCAAGCCAGCTCTGCACCGCAGGCTTCCTCCCACTGTGTCTGGGCCCCCTTGCCTGTCCGCAGTCCCTTAATCCAGGGCGTCTCTGGCGCACATTTCTGATGAGCTGCCTCTTCCCACCAAAGTCAACATGCACTTCACCGGCATTTGTCTGCTTACAGGTTGTTGGCCTGGATCCCCGGAAGAGGAGGCCCCTTCGGGGCAAGGTGATTCTGTGGGAGCATCACAGGTCTGGATGCCAAGTCAAGATCCATCCACCCAGAAGTCTCATTCTTGGGGGAAGTGTGGCCCACTCTTGAAAGACATTTTGTGCCTAGAGAAGCAGGACAGAATGTACCCTGATCAAGGCCTGTACACCTGTGGGGGAAAGAACTAGCACCACAAGCAGCAAACTGGAGAGAACCTCTCTAGGCTGGACAAGGCGAGGTCTTCATTCATGGAGAACTGCAGAGGTAACGTGACAGAGAGGATCTTGACATGCAGGGAGACAGCCAGCACAGACCAGTGTCAACAACAGGCTCCCCACAGTGTGGGGAAGCCACACAGGGACACCGCAGGTAGAGAGGCCTTTGAAAATGGGCCAAACAATTACCAGTGCACTCACTGTGGGAATGCCTTCCTCCATAAACATGTACTTGCTGACCATGAGAAAGTCCACCCTGGAGAAAAGCCTGGTAAGCATAGGGAATGTGGGGAGACTAGAAATCCCCACCTTAATCAGCACCAAAAAGTCCACACCGAAGCAAGGTTTTACGACCACTCGGAATATGAAGTATTCTTCACACAGATATTGGACCTCAATGACCGCCAGAGAATTCACACCCAGCTGGTGCCTTTTGGGTGCAACCAACATGGGAAGGCCTTCTTTATGCTGTCCCAACTCCTTGGCCATCAGAAAGTCCATTCTGGAGAAAGGCCTTACATTTGCAGTGACTGTGGGAAATTCTTTGGGAACCGCTCGGCACTCATTAGACATCAGAGAGGTCACACTGGAGAAAGGCCCTATGAGTGCAGTGAATGCGGGAGATTCTTTGAGAACCGCTCGGCACTCATTAGACATCAGAAAGGTCACACTGGAGAGAGGCCCTATAAGTGCAGTGAATGTGGGAAATGCTTTGGGAACCACTCCACACTCAGTATACACCAGAGAGTTCACACTGGAGAGAGGCCCTATGAGTGCAGCAAATGTGGGAAAACCTTCACCTGCAAACATATACTTGTGCACCACCTGAAAATCCACAGTGGTGAGAAGCCTTATGGGTGCAGAGAATGTGGGAAAGCTTTCAGCCGCAAAGACAAAGCTGTTGAACACCAGAAAACCCACACTAGAAAGGAGTTACGTGTGCAGCGACTGTCAGAAATCCTATCTGGACGGCTCCTCACTCATCATTCATCAGAGAGTTCACACCTGAGAAAGGCCTTGTGAGTGCAGCAGATATAGGAAGTTCTTTTGATACTGCTTCACGCTCATTAGACACAAGAAATTCACTCTGGAAGAGGGCCTTATAAATGCCACAAGGTAGGACATCTTTTAGTTTCTGTGAGTGCAACTAACGTGGAATATTTTCGTGGTTCAGCTCCAGACTCATACACACCAGCAAGTTCATATCGCTGTGAGGTCATATGAGAACAGCAGATATGGGAACAACTTTACATATAATTGTGACCTCATTAAATATTGTTGAGTTTACACTGGAAAAATGACTTCTGAGTGCAATGAATGCCGGAGAGTCTTTAGCCAAAACTCCCATTCACTTGACTCTGAAAAGTTTATACCAGAGAAAATTATGAGAGCAGTAAGTTGGGAAAAGACTTCAGCCAAAAGTCTTCCAGTTGGCATTGTAAAATACAATTATGTATTTATGGGTTATTATTGCATTAAAGTACACACATATAAAATTTGTGTCAGTATTTTAGTGTACCGTTCAATACTGTACAACATTCACATTCAACAAATATCAAGAACTCTTCACCTTGCAAAAGTGAAAATTTCCATTAAACTTTTATTCTTCTCTTCCTGTAGACTTCGACAACCTTTGTACTACTCTGTCTTTATGCATGTTGACTGCCCTAGCTACCTCATGTAAGAAGAATCATGGTTTTTGTCTTTTTGTGAACAGCTTTCTTCACCTGCCACAATTTCAGAATTACCTTTCTTTTTAAGGCTGAATAAGATTTCATTTTATATCTTTATCATATTTTCTTTATCTGTTCATTCACCTATTGATGGATACTTCCCTTGCTTCTACATTTTGGCTATTGCAAAGATTGCTGCTCTGAAGGTGTCTGCACAAATATCTCCTCGAGTTCCTGCTTTCAGTTCTTCTGGGTATATAGCCAGAAGAGAAATTGTTGGATCAAATGATAATTCTATTTTTAATATTTTGAGAAGCCCAGGAACTGTTTCCATCAAGGTCCATAAGAATTCCAATATCTGCACATCCTCCTCAATCAATTTTTATTTTCTGTTTTGTGTTTAATGGTAGCTCCCCTAATGAGTTTGAGGTAGTGGTTTATTGTGGTTTTGTTTAATCTTTCCCTAATGATTAACGATGATGTACTTCTTGGCCATTTGTGGTATTCTTTGTGCAAATGTCTAAATTTGCCCGTTTTAAAATCAAGGTTTTTTACTGTTGGGTCTAGCAGTCTTTATATAGCCTAGATACTAACCACTTAATGAATATATAATTTATAAATGTTTTTGTCTATTCAGAAGGTTGCCTGTTGACTCTGTTAATTATATATTTACTTAGAGGGGAAGGGAGGGTGAGAAACACTAATCAGTTGCCTCTCACATGCATCCCAACCAGGGACTGGCCTGCAACCCAGGCATGTGCCCTGACAGGAAATCAAACACATGACCTTTCACTATGTGAGATGGTGCTAAACCAACTGAGCCATACGGGTCAGGGCTGATAGTATTCTTTAATGCAAGGGTCCCCAATTCCGATTCTGGTCCATGGCCTGTTAGGAACCAGGCTGCACAGCAGGAGGTAAGCGGTGG